GCGCGGGCAATCACACTGACCTTTTTCGCCAGCTTTGATTCCAACAGCATTGACTGCACAAACAGTGCTTCAGACACTCCTTGTGGCCAACCGCACACAACTCCGCTTCGCCGGAGGCCAGCGCCAGTGTCCCTTGGGTCCGTGCGGCACTAATCATATTGCGCCCAAAGGCATTCACAGTGGATCCACTGATGCTCTTGCACAGACATTCACATCTATGGCATAGGTTCCATTCGCAAGCTGATACGACGGATGCTGTCTTAGCACACACATTCTTTTGCCAATCAGGTATCGAAGTAGGTTTTGCATTTCGCGACACTCTGCATTGTCGGTGCAGTCACATCCTGACTCAGCTCCTTAGTCGCATATGCAACATCACCTCTTCACCAGTGCAAGCCACAGCAGTTTGCCAACTGCAGTCCGGTACACTGAGTGCTCCTCAGAGCTCCGTGGTGTGTCCGGAACAGTCTTAACAAATTTGGCTGCCAGTGGGTAGCCACGGGCTTGGCATTTACCACACAGCTCCACACGCGAGTCAATGTACGCTTGCGACATGCACACATCAATCGAGTCAGCATTGCGCCTCAATCTTCTTCCGAGGAAGGTGTGCTCAGTCCCTGGCACTAGCTGGCCAGTCTCTTTTTGAGCAACACTTCGTCAGAAAGCTGAGACCATTTTTCTCGTTTCGTCAGTCCCTACGGCCCTACGACCATCAACATATGCATAAAGTTTGCCCGAATCATGACAATACAGATTCGGATCACTCTTACATCTCCTGCATCCCAGTTTCGAGGTCATTCGAAGTGTTCCTGCCACAGTTTCTGCACTTGCTGCCGAAGGCCGTACATTGCTTTCTTCAGTTTCCAGAGGCATTTGCCATGTGGATAGACTTCTTTCAGTGGCCAAACAAATCACTTCACCTGACATTGCTGCACGCAGGAAGGCAGTGCTGACATCACCCAGTGTGATGCCCCAATTTCTCGCCATTGCCATGCAAAGCAGCAGTCGCATTGTCACAAGCAGCGGCGTCGAGGCAGACAGGTTGTCGTTCACACAAATCGTCATCAATCACCTTCAACATCGTCCATTAAATGTTTCGCCACTGGTTTGTACAATCCGACATATCGCTTCCCATGACCAATAACCCCATTTCCCCAAGTAGGTTGGAGGAGGGATCAGTTTGCTTGTTCCGAAGTCCATTCTCTTTCACTCTTTCCCCGTCTCCAAAGCCAATGCTCCGCTACCATGCAAAATTCCACTATACAATCAAACAGTTATGACCAAACGAGCTCAGTGTATTCCCACAATCCACAACACACTCAGGCAAGCCTTCCTTTATGCGACCAAGCCAGTCCCCAAATTCCATTCGGCGTTGTGGCGTTCGGTGGTGCGTCGTAGCGAGGGAGCAAGAAAGCGAGCCAGAGAGGGAGGAGGGAGGGGAGAGAGGGAGGGAGAGAGAGGGAGCGGGAGGGAGGGAGGGAGAGGAGGGAGAGGGAGGGAGAGGGAGGGACAAGCGAGAAGGAGGGATGTGTGTGGGTCTGTTCAAGATGGGGGAGAGGAGGGAGAGGGAGGGATGTGTCTGGGTCTGTTCAAGACTGCACTGCTGTGGGCAAATAACAGCCCCAGCCCCCGACTGAAATGACACTACTGAACAGAATGCAGCTTTTTCAGGTTGCCACTGAAGCTTGTACATATCAGGCCCGTCCCGGAACGAAGCCGTTCCCGACCTCACCTGGAGGTTGCCTTCGGCCCGAGATGTGTAGCCTTGTACCTTCGAGCATGCGACATATCAACTAAGCTGTTGCTGTGGCAATGTTAACTCTTGGAAATGCTTGGATATTCTGAGTGCTACACTTTTCACCAACCTGGAAGTTGCAGCCGGAGGCTGCCACACAGATCACACTTGACATTTACATCGGGCTGCACCATGCTCAAGCCTTTTCGCCGACTGGAGATTTTGTGCATCCAAGCGACACAATATCTGAATAAACCCAGCCACCACAATGAAAGAATGGACGTAATGGCACCTATGTTTTCGAAAAGCACCAAGCCAGCATTGTCGTTCCAAAAAAGTACGCCAAGGGCGCTGCAGCTAAGAGCGATGGCTATGGAGCTGTGAAGCGCCGGCTCATAGGCTGGACGCGACATGTTGAAAACACCTGTCACTCTGAGTCACTCTGGCACAATCCGAGCCACCTAGCTTCTGAGACTGCCGCCACTTTCCCGAGGAAAGATTTCCAGCAGCTGCCAAACAAGAAGAATGCTGAGCCTCAACTCCAGCCCTGTCCGAAACGGGAGATGATGAAAATCATTCTAAAGTGTAATCGCATGACATTGATAGCAAAGTTTAGGACACCGTGACACCACACCGGCGGGCAAACGTGTCCAAAATGCGGACCAGTGACACGAAGGTTGCGCTCAAAGGATTTAACACGAGAATAGCGATGCGCTCAGCCGGAAGATCCCACGGTGCAAACCGCGCAACTGGCAAAGCACCACCTTGCTACACTTTGCCATTTGCCACAAGCATCTACATGCTGCAATCCGTCGGACAAGACCAACAACTATATCAATTATTGGTTACGTGCCATGTCACCATGGAGAAACTCCCGCCCAGGATCTCCAAACATCGTAGTATAACGTACGCCAACGATGTCCGACAGATCTGAGGCATCGGTGTAAGAGCTATCATTTGTGCCGAGAAACAAATATGCACGTGCAACAGCCAATCACGAGGTGCTTCTAAGCAGCTCCAACAGCCTCCCCAATGCCAAGATTGGCCCGATGCTTGTGGAAGATCCTGGTCGTCATCGCCGGGCCTCACTGTTCGGGCTCACTGTGGAAATATGCTTTGTTTTTTTCTGCTTCTCTCCGTTCGCTCAGTCTCATGGCGGTAGCTACCCGATCAGGGCGCCCTTTCGGACTGGGGCCCAATCGTACTGCCGGTAACCTCTTCCACCACCGGATGCCACTGGTCACCCCGTTCTCGGAGATTCTTCAGCAGAGCTCAGAGACGGAGGAAAGGAAAAACGTCAATGCCAACCGATGGTTGCACGCACGAATTTGGACATCCAACTGCAAAAATTGTGTCACTAGTGATGCCGTAATGCCCCACGGCATGCACCACAAGCTCATGGCCCGCACACATAATCTCAATGCAGTCTATGCACCCGTAGCAAACACAGAGACAACACACTGAGATTGGACCTGGCCAGGGACACCGAGGACAAAGAGGCAGCAGGATTCCGATGTCGAAAACTCCGCACGAATCATGACTCACTACATCAATGCAGTTCAATGGTCAAGCTCAAGATCACGACAGGGCCAAGTGCGCTGTGGCAGGAATTAATTGAGATATCACAGAGCAAAGGCTGAGGATGTGCTCTAGGAATCCCAAGGATGCGAAGGTCATCTGTCCGGACTCCCTGCGAGCTATTTTCTAGGCGCGTTGAAAACGGAAGAAGGGACACGGCTCTGCGTTCGAGTCCGTATGACGCTTACTGGATCAGCAGTAGCATGACCCCTGAACCGTCCGATCGGAATTGAATCGGGTGGATGCTGTAGCTGTGCTGATCAAGGAATAGGCGGTCATTGCATCGTGTTCCCGTCTTCCAGAACGGATGCAACATTACAAGGGGCCAGCCAGTACAACCCCACGAGGTTCCGCTCCCCACACAGCCACTCCGCTAGACGCAGAGAAGCACCGGAGAAGCGGAGTAGGAAGCAGGGCTTAGCCGGCATGCCTGAGGGGCAGGTGGCTGGGAGCCTTTATCTCCTCCTGGCTTTGGAGAGCCAGGGTGACAGACACGGCACAGCATGTTTGCAGCAGCAGCTTCAATGAACTGTCCCAAGTAGTATTTGTCTTGCATCAGTTGGCTTGTTCCGGGCGTCCAGGATTTGTCGTGACTCGGTGGGCCTCTTAGCTAGCAGCTAGGGTGCCCACGGCCGCAGCGAAGTCGCGCCAGGGACCCCATTCTTCAGTGTATGTTTGGATCTCTGAAGGTATCCCGGTATATATCCCGATCGCGAAAGTCTGCCAGCATCAGCGGACAGATGGCCAACTGTAAACTTGGCACCCGGTAGAATTTTTGTGTCGCACATAAATTGGTCAAAACACGAGCGGGAGGGCCGCAACACGAACTGGATGACACTGCTACCCCTAAAACAAAATAGTTGATGCTGGTGCCTGGTGTGTTCTCCATTCATGATGTGACGCCTTCGAGGCACGTGGCGGTCCTAAAGCCCGACAGATGCACAGGTCCAGACCCAAACGGGCTCGTGCTGCAAGTTCAACAAGAAACAAAAGATTAAGCACATACAATACCTTTCAGTTGCAGCAAACAACAACCAGCTTCTTGTTGAGCCGAAGATCTCCACATGCCGCCACCACATAAGCAGACCAGCTTGACCATCAATAGCAGCACTTTCTGTGATCACCTGCAAGTTCTGATGTCCACATGGCATTCATCAAGCTGGCAAGCTGGATTCTAAAACTTGGGTCCAGTGACACGTCCAGGCCACCTGTAGTCACCTTAGATCATGCTGAACCCTAACAGCGTGCCTCATGCGGGCCAACAGCAAGATGTTGGCGAGTTGCTGTAGCTCAGAGTCAGCGGCACTCCATCCCGCAAGGGAGGGGGGCGAGGAACATGCAGTCCTGCATCAATAATACTCTGTCACATCGTTGAACTGCTGCATGTCGTGCAGCCTTTCCGACCGGATCGACCGGTCCTTGAGTATCCTCAGAGGCCAGCCGCGGCCCGGGCGGTGACCTTCGAAGCGTGCTTGTTGAGCAAACAAAGCCCGAGGTCTCACGATTTGAAGCTTGACAATGAGAACGGTGCAATTCTACAGCTGCAGCTGCTGACAGGTCCATGGCGAACAAGTCTTCACGGAGTCATCCACCAACCGCTTTGCGATCTTGGAAGCTCCGTGCCCTACAAGCCTACTTGCCCTCTACTACCGTTGAGAGAGAAACGGTCCGATGTCACGGTCAACAGTCACACGTTCACATCGACAAAAAAAACAGAGCCCCATGAGCTATAGCTCGGGAAAGGAGGAGCAAAGAAAAGTGCATAGGGATCCTGGACTTGTGCTGGGGCAATGGGTATCAGGGCAACCGAAGCATTGACGAAATTCCGCACTCTGTCCTTGATTTCAGATTGCATGAGATCATCCAGCAGCAACAGAGCGAGCTCCCACTGCGCGCAGCGCTCGCAAGCGTGCACCGCTGCTGAATAGGCCACTCCGTTGGACAAACGATCCTCGTGCATCATTCGGAGACACACGATAGCTGCTTCCCACTGCATGCCCTTCTCACATGCGTTGATAATTGCACCAAAACCGATCGAATCTGGGAGTGACCCGCTGCTGCAGCTGGTGCTATGGACTGTTAAGGCATACTCCCACGTCTTCTCGCATGCAGTCACCGCCGAATTGTACGTCAGAAGGTCAGGCTGCACGGATGTGGTGTGTGTGTGCAGAAGCAAGAGAATCGCACGGGGCCACATGTCCAATTCGAGTGCGCTGATGACAACATTCCAAGGAACAATGTCCAGCTGAATTCCGACCATGAGAGAGCATGCCAACAGACTAACTGCCTGTCTCCACGCCTGCTGCTTCCGGCACCCAGCTAGGTTGCCATTGCAAGTTGCTGCATCATGCTGCAAACGCGCAGTTTGCATGGTCCGCTGCATCTCGAAGGCACATTTCCAGTTACCTCTGAAACAAGGCAGGACAGAATTGAAAAGCACCGTGTCGGGCCGAAGCTTTGCAATGTGAGTGGACGATTGAAGAGTCTGCAAAGCCTTTGTCCACTCTTCGGCCCGTGCACAGCAGCTCACCGCCAGACTGCATGTGATTGCATCAAGTTTGCCAAGCAAGCGAATCTCACTCAGTGTTCGCAGCACACTTTGCCAGCGGAGAGATCGTGCGGCTGCTGTGAGGCCGATCTTCAAGTTAGGAGCAGGTTGCAATTCAGCCATGCTCTTTCTGTGCTGGGGCGGCTGTACCTTTCCGCTTCGACTCCTCCCATCGCGAACAGTCGATCCACAGCTTTAGTCAATGGTGCCTGCAGGTGCACAAAGTGCTTGCTCTCCATGACAGAGCACTGGCATCGCAGCTGGAGCCAAGCAGTTCGCGGTTGCACAGACGGACACGAGTTTGGCCCTGCCACGGTTCCAGGTGTGCCAAAGAACAGTCCACGCTTTTGACCCTGTAAGCTCTAGCTCATATGCCGCGGAGAAGTCTTAGACATCCGGGCACACACACATCCTCGCATCCTACTGAGTGAGACGAAAATGTCTTTCCACAAGATTGTACTCCAGAGTGTAGGAAAGCACGAACTGAATACAGTACACAGTCCGGTGAGTCCAGCCACTGTTCCACAGACAGAGCCAAGCTCGTGGGGACTTCCAGAGAAATGCTTCTCACTCCATCACACTAAGTCATGTTTCCAGGGTCGGGAAAGGAAGAGGAGACAGACGGACAGTAAGAGGGAGAGGTGCCGAAAGAGAGAGAGAGAGAGAGGCAGCCAGCATCAGCCAGCCATGCAGGGGAGAGGAGAGCGAGAGTGCGAGAGAGAGAGAGAGAGAGAGAGAGAGAGAGAGAGAGAGAGTGTTTGCCACAACGTCGCTGCGTGGCTGGCCTGGAAGGAGTTCCTAGATCCAGTCAAGATCAATCTCTGGCCTAGACCAAGGCTCTGCACAGGCCTGCTGTTTAGACAGGTCGAGGCCATGGATTCAGTTGGTAGACCAATCTTCCCAGCGCAGGTCCTGCGCGTTTCGACCCGTCAAGATCTCCAGCACTCTCGAAGAGTGCACACTTGACTCTAGACAAAGTTCAGCGCAGCGGCGATCTCGGGCTCAAGCTTTGGCATGAGAGGCAAGACTCAGGCAAGACCAGACGGAGTGTCACAGGATGGCCTAGTATGGCCTAGTAACCTGAAGGATGGTCAGAGCCCCCAACGGGGACCTGGCCCAAGCTTTCATCACAATGTCACTCCGGATCCTCGGATAATTTGTTTGCCTCAAGTCAACCATGTCGACTCCTGCAGCAAGAACTCCCGCTGCTTCCGAAACCAATTTCGGCGCTGTTGAGCACGTCTTTCCAGAATCTGACAAGCGAAATCTGAAGCGCAAGAGTGCGTGGCTCGGCATCAAAGCAGCTTGCCTTCACAAGGGACTGTTCCATGTCAGGGTTCCAGTCCTCAAGAAGCAAGCAGCAGAAAAAACAAAAAATTGCTTCAAGCATCTTCCGGCAAGGTAGTATCGATAAGCAGGATGCCGAATCTCTGATTTCCGATCGCTTGAATGTCTCAATTGCCAGTCCCTGCGAGTCAGTAGGTCAGATGCGACACCCTGTTGAAGCTTTGTTGAAGGCCGCGCCAGCTTTCCTTGCAAAATGCAGTTCATAGATGACTCATTTGGACTCCGTGACTATTCTGGGCTGCATGCCTCCGCCGGCCACCACAGCCTGCTTCGACTCAAGGGCATTTTCAGTTTTCCAGCGCTAAGCTATTCTCAACTGCGATTGCGCCTGAAGGGCAATCAGCTCTAAGCTTTCAGACACGATGGCTTCTCGCAGCCTGGCAGCGGTGCCAACGGAGCAAGACCGAGTTCTGTTGTAGCACGTAGCATGCGGTTCCTTTGCCCTGCCGCGTGGTCACATAGCGACGCGGAGATAGACTCTGCCTCGCAGTTTCGTCGCTTCGTGCGGAACATTCCGCCTGACCACAGCCTGGCGCAAGTGAAGAAGACGACGCTGATGCCTTGTCGCAAGGGGCCGTGATGGGCCGTGAGGCATCCACTCAGAAAGCAACAATCAATGCCTGTTCCAGTCATGTAGTTCATGAATCTCCAGAATCAAACCTCGCAAGTGACGCCAATGTTCTGCAAAGCCCTAGATTTGCCCGTGCCTTTATTGAGGAATATTGAGGACAGCACGGGCCCGAGGCTGCAGAACGAAGGGTTCACAATTTGTGGATGCAAGCGTCAAGTACGCCTGCAGTCCAACACATTGGCAAAGGATGTCGCGTACGTGGGTGATGTTGGCATTACAGGAAGCCCGGCCTGACGAGCTCCACCCTCGCGGAGCTGCTCCAGAAGTCCAACTACTCCTGGTCGGCTTGTGACCTGGGCTCTCTAGGCCCTATGATGTTCGCATGTTTAGGTCGTCTTGCAAAGCGTATCTGCTTTGCAAGGAACACTTCTCGTGTTCCATCAAATTCGGCTGTGGGATCTTTCCGAACATCTGACACAGTTTCAACACTGCATCAAAAACAGAGAGCCCTAAATACGTTCAGCATCGGACTCAAAGATTCCAAACACTCTGCTAAAGTCCACCACCCGCACCGATCCGATTTTTGAGACCTTCCGACCACACAGCATGCAAGCAGTTTAAAATGACTGTAAACAAAAAGATCCCTTGTTCAGCCCCCACCCCTATGGAAATCCGTCGGCGAATAGCTCACGAAACATGATGGCTGTGGACTGTCATATGATCTTCCCAACTCAGCATGCCACGTCGTGCTGCTGGCATGGCCCGACAGCCTCGCAGGAGGGTCATGCAACCACCCCACTCAAGCGACACAAAGCCACCTGGGAGACGTCCAGGTCTGACGCTGCATGGCAGTAATGTTGAAGCGCAGGCTCGAAATGCTTCACCTCGATTCAGGCTCAAAAAACGAAATATCAAGCTTCCTCTGCCCAACTTGCAGCCAGACGGCGATCAGATCGGCCCACAAACATTCCTGCTCATGCAATAAGCTGAGGCTTCCAGGCGAAGCAGGATCCTGAACCCAACCCCTGAAATCAGGCCGCACAGCCCCCCGAAACCAAACACCGCTTGAGCTCATCACTCAAGCAGACTCGAAAATTATTGCTTTGAGCTACGACATTGGAATCGAAGACTGGTTTGGGCTTGGGGCTTGGGAGCTTTGCTTCAGCATGCTTCAGCGCTTCGGAGTCTTGGGCTTTGCCTCACAGACCCTGCCCACAGGCCTTGTCAAACGCTGCCCTGCAAGACTTGCAAGCCATTGACAGAACGGAGCCTTCAGCCGCATCCTCCAGTGACACTGCTGGACGCTTGCGGCTGTTCACGGATGTTCACGGCTGCTCCATCGACATCCCCCCTTGGCACCGGACAAGGAAAGGCGCCAAAGCCAAAGAAGGAGCTGTACCCAGCAGAAAAGTCCTCAAACTTGCAGAATTGCAGAAGTGTGCAGAGGCACGCAGCACGATAAGTGCCAGGCATCCCTGCTTGCAGGACCTGCAGCATAACAGTTTAAACAACACACATGCAGTACGTCCATCTAGCACCTTCGCCGTGAATCGGGCTGGCAATGGCAAGTGAACGCTATTGGAGGGAAGCCAAGGCGCTTGGGTTTTATGGTATTGCCTGCCGAGCTTCTGGCAGTTCTAGCGGCTTCTAGCGAGTGTGTACACAGCCCGGCCGCACCGGCGCGCGGCTCAAGGCCCTGACTCTGCAAACATAAGATAATACAAAGCCCAAGAAAACTACCTGTGCACCCGTTTCTTCAAGCATGGGTGCCGTTGGCAAATCGCAGTTGGGCCACTGCCGTGCTGAAACGCCACGCGCGAGCAAGCATTCACGTGCAAACATATCTCAAAAACATGTAACAACTGGCAAAGCTGCGAGCATGCTCCTCTGCGCAAGAGTGATTTGCGTCGGGTAGCTCTACAGGCGCATGCAGCGGGAGCACTACTGCGTGCAATCTAATGCTGCTAAACTCATGATTCGATCCTAAAGAAAGCCGCTGAGGACAGCTCAATATTTGGGCCACAGCGTTTCAGGAAGGGCTGCAGCTCAACTGGTTACAAAAGCATAGTAGTCGGGCAAAGCTTTGTTGGGCCGAAACTAGAGGGTTGGCCGTTGTCCGGAACGAAGGCTGGCAAAAGACTTTTTCACACTCTAAACGATGCCACAGCATCGGATCTATGCTCCAAGTTTCAGAAGCATTTGCTGTGAACAATGGCTGGCCCCACCGAATCATACTCTGCTTTCCTTGGCGAGGCATCCGCCAATCACTTCAAAGGGTCTCACATGGATGTCACACACACGCACACACCGAAATGCTGTCACTAAGACGCACGCGTTATCAACAGATTCTGAAAACTCGAGAGCCGGGTTAGAATGGAGGCACCCATCCAAACAAGGTACCTGCAAGAATCGCACGACATCTGCAAACTCAGAACAGTCGGCGAGCTTCGCCAACCTTCTCTGTGGATTGGCTATTACCTTGACGTTGATTTTCTGCGGGGCCAAAGCCTCCAGGTGAACAAAACAAGCAATCCAACACATGCGAAACCGACCTTGCCTTCAGCTCGCTCTCCAGTCGCTCAGCGATTCCAGGGAACATCGTGTTTCCTGAGCTGAACATCATGTTCTCCTGCCATTCCCACTCGCAACGCATGTCGCCTCCACTCAGGACAATGTTCTTCAGAAGATCTTTTCGAAGATCTATGTCGCAGTCCTTTGGAGTCTACAGTCATGCGCTTTTGACCCTTCTTGCTCAGTTCGGGCCTGGATGCAGCGATAGATGGATTGATGCAGCCTGGAAACCACGCATGTCCGTGCAGACACATCCGCATGCCATTAGGCAGGAAGCCAATCAGGCCAAAAGAGCCATAGATATCTCCAGAACTAAGCATAGGGCATAGAGCGTGCACACGCGCACACACACACACACACACATGTACACACAAGCATGCAAAGCAGTCATCCTTACTAGATGGATGCTGTCTGTGCTAGGCTGCTGTTACATCGCTCTGTTTACTGCAGCACTATCAATTGTGGATGTTATTTTGTACTTGTGCTGATCTCTCTTCGAACTGCTATCTCAACCGTTTTCGGTATATACTCGTGAGATATTGGTTGAACAGTACAGGAATACCAAATGCCAAGCGATACTAACAGAAACTAATGCGTACGAACGTACAGTACTAACAGTATATATAGCAAGTATTGATCTGCGTACTGGTCTGATATTGGGTCAGAACTAACGACATCTCAGATAAGATGCTCAATAGTTAGTGCTCACTACATGGCATGAACATATGTAACCCTGTACTGGTTGCTAGTTAAATACCAAAGGAGTCTTCAAATAAATGCTGTGAGCATACTAACCAGGTGTCATTTAGTAGTAGTACAGACATGTCAAACATATATGAACATCACAGAAACGCTTCCACACATGTAAGACTCTAACGAAAATTGCAATATTGCTTGAGGTTGTAACCATGTCCAATATTCTTAGCCCAGACATGTGCTCGGGCAGGGAATGGAAGCTCACTCCCTTCAAGTAGCTCATGAGTGACCTCGTAGTGTTACTAACAAAAAAACACTTTGCAACATCCATGAAAAGCAGTATACCCAGCTCACAGGGTTTAGGGAACATTTCCCATGGTTCAGAAAGCTTATAAATTTAATACAACCCGCATCATGCACTCATGTTGCCAGACGGCACTGTTATTACTCCTACTGCCGAGCTCAAGGTGATGCCTTAGTGGAGCAAGCTGGTGAGGGCGACAGGGAAGCAGCCGAAGGGGGCCGATGGCAAAAGTACGGCAGCTGTCTAGCATGGTCGGGCTAAGATGGGGCCCTCATGTGCAGAACGACCCATGCGGGGTTGCTAGCCAACAGCAGTGTTCGCGGTTATGAAAACAGTAAGCTTGCCATTTTCGTCCTCGTCATCTTCTTCAGCAGCATCTTCTCCCTCAACATCTTCATCATCATCATCATCATCACCATCATCAACACCACGGCCACCGCCGCCATCATCATCACTGTTGTCACGACCATCGTCTAAGCAAGACCAGTATCGGTAACTCGCGCAACAGCAGCAGCAGCAGCAGCAGCAGCCAATATGGTATAGTTATGGCTTCACAACAGCCTGTAGACTCAGAATGGGGTCTGTGTGCTGCAGGCAACGCTGGGTGAGGTGAATGTGGGGGTTGTCGGGGTCAGCGCAGAATAGCCAAGAAAAGCCTCAAAACGCTGGGCACATGATCCGCTTAGAACCGGCTCGCCATATTCTGTCCGAGATCGACATGTGAACAACTTGGCCGCCCGCCCTGGGAGCTCTCGTCCTGCGATCATAGGATCAAACATAACCTGATCAGCACGGAGTTCCTTTCCCGCACCAAGGTCCAAATGGTCCAAAGCCAGAGCCTCTGGGACCCGAAAGCGCTCAGAGCCCAGGGCCACCTGAGTTCGATACCGGGTCCACTTGACAACAGGTTCTCGTTTTTCTCACCCGGCTTCACACCTTCTGGCCATCTGGAAGGCTGTAGATCTTCTCAAATTCTGTCGGATGTTCCTTCATGCAAGCCAAGACTGCGATACGAAATCTCCGCTCGGCAGCAGAAATAAAGCTTGATTGAGTTCCACCTTGGCGGACTGCATCTCAGTCTTCCAGTCACCTTTGCAAACATAGCACGTGGTCTCCTGGCAGAATCATGCAGAGTCCATATTCCCTTCCGTGGACCACTGCGAAGGCGAGTTGCCAGAGCTTGCGAGCAACCTGTCCTTCATCTCTCGGACAATGTCTTTCTCAGATGAAGACGTCATATTGTGGCCACTGTCGTGAAGGATCTGAATTCAATGTCGTGAAGGATCGGAACTCAACTTCAGGTCACGTGGACCCAAAACTGCAAACTCAACCAGCGATTTCCTGCCTTGATCATGTATTCGGAGAGATCCCTTCCAGCGAGGTCTAACCTCCAAAACATCTTTGCGACGATGAAATGTCACATGCTGACTAGGCACGATGGCTACAGACATTGAAAGCATTCCGATGCAATTCCAAGTGCGGGGCCGCTGAATGGCATGAGGCAGTGCAAAGCCTCATGCATCTGTTTGTCTGTTCGCTTCGTGCTACAACTGCTGTGCTGCCGGAATGGCCTTCGTAAACTGGCACGGTGTGGGTCACGCCGTCGCCAGAGTCGACTACGGTCCCCGTTGTACGGCCACTGGAGTATAAGGACATCACGGCCTCTGCAAACATCTACATGAATCGACGAGCACTTGACGACGTTGCCTGATCCTGTAGCTTTATTTTAAGTCGTGACTGGTGGAGCATGCCTCAATTGTGCATACTGGCTTCCTTCTGCTACCCTCCCCACAAAAAAATCGACCAGCCACTAAGTTTTGCATTATGCTAATTACGACGGGTTGCAAACCCTAAATGTTGCATGTTGGGAATGCTGAGGGAACTTTTGGTTAGCAAACACGACACGTGAAACGGAGATGTTGGCTGGCAAACCCAAACCCTATCAAAAGCGATGCTGTTTTGCATCCCAAACTGAGATCGTGGTTGGCAAACCCTGGTGCAGCCTGACATTCCGCTAGTTCTGTTGGATGGCAAGGGCTTAATGAGCCTTAATGTCTGCTGTTGAAGCTTGGCAAACCCAATGCCGATACCCGATCGCGGCTTTTACAAAAATCATCAAGCCGCAGAAGAATTAGACACAGATTAGCATGTTGAATGGCAAACCGAATGACCTTAAAACAAACGTTGGCTGCCAAGCCCCAAACGTTGAAGAAATGTTGCCAGGCCAAACCCAAACCCTAAAAGCATATCGCTTGGCAAACTCGATAAAACGGAGATGCTGGCTGGCAAACCCGACATACCACTGCGGCTCTGCGTGGCTCTGCGTGGCTCTGCCTGGCTCTGTGGGGCTGGGCAGTTGCAGGACTGTAATTTGGCGTAGTTTTCTTCATGGCCCTAGACCCTAGACGTATCTCGGCGATTGAATCGGCGGCCCATCTGGTTTTTCGAATTTACGTTCCTGAATCGGAGCACTGCTTTCAGAATTCCTGTACTCTCCTCGTGCTCCTCAATCAGCGCCTATTAACTATTTCTCCTTCTTTCTGCTTCTTTCTTGCCCCTGCTCTCCGCTATCGATGCGACGTCACAAGTCTGAAGAACGACCATTGGAACATCTAGACGCGAGCGTGATGGAAGCATCACCGCGGCACTGCGGTCCTGGATAACGATGTACGCTGCTGGACAACTAAACCTGCGTCAAGGTCATCGTCCCCTGTCACTCTGCCACAAGACTGTATGTGTCGTTGTAACTTCTCAGGGCGCCACTTTTCGAACAGCATCTCGACCATCCTTTCTCGATTCTTTTTGGGATTCATTGGTGCCTGAACTGAATCACAGCAACGACCCGAGACTGGTAACATTCGGGCACACGCGACATGTCAAAACTCGTCCTGCCTCGCTAACAACGCAGGCCTGATCTTCCGGATTGATGCGCAATGCATCGAAAAAGGTGTGATGCCATACCTTCACACGGGATTTCATGCATGTCACTGGCCAATCCGATATCTAAACCAAGCCTTCTCCATCTCCGACCAATCTTTCACGATGCCGTGCTCAATCTTGGCGACATGCGTCGAAAGACAGTCAGTTCGGCGGTTTAGCGCGCCGGACACTCGCATCCAGGTCTGTTTCCTGCAGTGTATAAGTTTTGAGTGATGCGAAACGTTTGGGATGCAGAACAATGACTCAGACTGTCCGCTGGATTTGAACTAGCGTGGTGGCCGTGCCTACAACAGGAACAACAAGAACAACGACCGAGAGGCAGCAGCAAAAGCTTGAGGGATGTATTATTAGATAGATAGAGCTCTCGTGTCTTCGACCACAGAATCGTAGCGAAGGAAAATACTGTCCTTGCAGGACGTTTCAGAAACGATGTGCAGCTGTGGGCATAAGGTTTCGACAACAAGGCTAACGAGGCAACTATCAATCACGAAGGCTACAAGGAGCGCACCGCACACACACACACACACCTTGGCGCCGCTCCGACTAAGTCTACTACCTAGGCAATATCAGTTGCACTTGATGCTTCTGCAATGGCTTACAGCTGCACAAACATCGGCCATCTGCGTCTTACATCAGATACACCAAAAGTGCAGAGGTTGTCCAGTAGGTGGCAACAAAGCGGCAAACAAAATCATTCAAACACCTGCCGTGCAGTGCAGAAAAAGTTGCGAATCTGTGTCCAGCACGTGCGAAACTGAGGCCCATGCTGGATAAGATAAGCACAGCACGCCTCGTTTACCCATAGCTTCCTCGCCAACATAAAAGTCTTTTTTGTCGCTGCCTGTACAAAGCGCAAGGACTCAAACCACTCCGCCATCAGTCTGAAAAGCAACGCTATTCAGAAAGCATACGACATTTGGATCTGTGGACCTAAACACTCCCAGCCTGGCATCATGGCCGCATGCTTCGGTTTGCCCACAACAGCAGGAAAAACGCATCGCGGTACTTCTTCGTCGGCAACTCCTGCCTTCACGGAAGCTGCGAGCTTCTGGTCCACGCAACACTGCAACGCATCACGCCTTGACGTGGCCAGACCCGTTGTCGATGATGACCGCGGGCTGGCGCAGGGTCTTCTCAGACTTGCGTACATAATCGCCACAGTGTTGCACAATCCGAATCTCCAAGTGCATTAATTTGCTGGAAATGATGTATCATGCAAGATTGCCATCATCGTCTCTGTAACGAAGAGTGTGGTTCTCAGTACCAACAGTCTTTCCCGAAGGGTTTTGTGACGTTTGAACAGGGTCTCCTGCATTTAGCTGAAACTTGGCATCCGTTTCTGTTCTCAGCATGGCGAATGAGATGGCAGCTAATAGCAAGAAATCAGCAAACAAACACGGAGCGAATGAAAAAAGTCAATGTGAGACTCACAAAAAGCAATAAAACTTGATATAAATACAAAGAAGAACAAGCCAGGAAGTTTTGAAAGAAACTGAAGCAAACAGAGAGACAAGCAGAAACGGAGAGAAACGCAGAAAGAGGAAAAGATAGAGCCGGAAACACAGAGAGAAAGGGAAGAGGGAGAGATACGGAGACGGATGAGTTATTCCAGCGTCATGCGGATGCTAAGTATGCAACGAATGTCCACCGGCACCCAGGGCTTTCAGCACCTTGTGTGCTGGATGGGTTTCGCCAGAGTGCGGTGATTTTCATTGCCTGTTGGGTTCTACACATGTTCAGCAAGTTTGCAATGGGCCAATAAGCTCGCCTTCTCATGCCACATGCTCAGCCTCTCAGCAAGTGTCGGGCCGCATTGCAAGAGCTAACGCTGGCTGCCAAGCTGATTCACTTGGTGTGACGCAAACTACAAGGATCCAGGAACGGCTTATCCAACGACCAAATGTCTCAGATCTAAGCTACGCGATGAGCGCTGGTTGCATAGCTTGGGATTTTCGCAATGACTCATGCCGGGCCATTTTCGTTTGCACGATTGCTGGCACAATTTCGGTTCAAGTGGCAGTCTGTGCAATGACAAATCGAAACCTCGAACACCTGACATGATGGCGCGAGCAATGGCCCCAGCGTTTGGGACCCCCACATCCAAGCAATATGTAGTGAAGCAACCATTAGCAATCAATGTTCGCCACAACCCAAGCAACACGATTTTGGACTTGTCTGAATTTGTTTGCAGAGGGTCTCGTCGACGATGCAGCCACACTACTCATGCATTAATAGGCCGAACTGCATCCTCTGGATGCCCATTTGCGGACTCTTTGTGACACTCAAAAGCCTGCCGATTTCCGAAGTACGAACAACAGGCGTGGAGCTTGAGCTGATGCCATGCGGTGATCTTTCGCTTAAGAAACGCAACTTTGAGGTTGATGCCGAAGTGAGAAAAGTGTTTACACATTCAAAAACTAAACGCAATGCAGGCTTGTTTTGCCAAATGGTCGAAACAGACAAACTTCCACAGATGTGCTTGTTCGGTCAGAAGGCAAATGGGACAGTCTTGCGTTTGTTTAGCAGATAACGGACTTCCATGCTGCAGGCAATTTGCGCACTCCATTTTATAACGCTAAAGACACGTCCGTTATCAAACAAACCGTGCATGGGTCCCACGTCGCTGTGCCAAATTTTTTGGAACCTAAACGGGGTGTGGGACTCGGTCCGAGAATGACCCGGATGGATCTAGGTGGGACCCAGGTGACCCGATGGGACGAAGACGGGTTTGCTGGAAAAACCTCAAAACGACAGGTCGTCGAAATAGCGAATTCCAGCCTATGTCTCAAAACAAGCCTCGTCGCTAAGAGTGGAGAAAACCATTTTGGTGCAAACTTGTGCTCTCTCGCAGGGGAAGCCTCCAACTCACGTCACAACCCTGTTGATCAATCCGGACCTTGGAGGGGCGAGCACTTTTACGGGCCTTGGGTTTCGTATTTCATGGCCTTTGAGGCAAGGGCATGGCGCCCTCAAGGCCCGTGAAATGTGTGTCTTCCTGATTTTTTGGGCGCCCTTCCACGTTTCAGATTTGAACGCTCTGCGGCCCTCCCACGTTTCACATTTTGCCCCCTTCGGACCCGATTTTTGGCTTCGGTTTTTCGTGCAATTTAGCCTTCTCTCCAGTTGCCTTAGCAATCTTCCGTCCAGGTTTGTGCCCCGGTTTGTGAGCCCGAAACTACACTTGCGCAAGCAGTTCTAGGTTCCGAGTCGCCGACCTGTTCTTCTCCAGCTTTTGCGTAGGTTAAAAAAGTGAAAATGGCTTCAATGCACAGGCTCTCAAGTGTTTGCAAGCTCGGTTTCGAAGTTTTCATATTGTGTGCATTTATGTTTGCATCCTTAAATTCCAAAGTGTTCTGGCTTCTGTCTTTGTCTTGTCGACTCCAATTGCTACACGCTTTGGTTTTGTCTTCTATATCCTACGATCCGAAAATGAATTCTGTCTTTACGTGCATCTTCTGACTTTTTGGTGCAACGGTTGGAAGTTTAGGAACAGCTT